GGCTGATTGACTGCGGGGACGTGGGCAGAGTAGAGCTGGATGTGGAACAGTTCTCATTGATCAATATGACTGCACTAGTGCTCCATTCGAGGTACGTGAGCAGGGCGGAGCAGTGACGGAAGATGTGTAATCTGGGGGGTTACCTCTAAATTAATAATTTTTCTGTTATTTTGTATTCAATAAGAATATTTCATTCTTTCAGATCAAGGATGTGTTATTTGAGTGTTCCAAAAAAAGTAAAAAAAACAATCCACTGAACTTTTTTTCCAAGCTTGAAGACGTTGCACTTCCCATCCAGGAAGCTTTTTCAATTCAAAATGTCAGGAATAGCGTTTAGTTTGAGGTTTTATACAGTAGTCCATCAAAACCTTGATTTAGTTTTTTTTTTAGTTTTTTTGTAATGACTATGACCTGGATGTCTGAGAATCTTTACCAGCATGTTTGAGTGTTCCCTTTATTTTTTGAGCAGTGTAAAACGTGTTTATATCAATGTGTACACACATTAAAATGGTCCAAAGTAGAGACCTGATCAATTACATTCACAAATACTCTCCATCCAACATGACTTAGATTAAGCTCTATTGCGAAGAGGAAATGGAGTAAATATATGCAAAGCTGCTAAGGATATATTACTCTGCTGTAAATGCAGGAAAATTGTTTACTCAGGAGGGGAGTGGGGAATAAAATTAAATAAAAAAACTCTTTACATTTTCATTCATAAAAAAAAAAATCTAACAACAAACAAAATATAAATAGGTTTAAAGGAAAAAAAAACAAAATTAGTCTAAGACAGTATCTGGCTTAAAAAATACAAGTTAGAACCAAAGTGGTTTGTTACTCTCGGCTAAAATAAAAGCTGGCCAACTTTTGTCACAGATCCTTGAATCTGTGGTCCTCAAACATGTTTCCAAGCTATATAAATGTAAGTGTTTGCAGATGTTGCTACATGCTCTTACCTGAATTGGCTCCTTTGTCAGTCTCATAGGTCCCACACATTCTTCTGTGGCTGAAACCTGCAGAAAAAAATGTAACAATTACTTAAAGAAAACAAGGAAATTGAAGATACATAAAAAAAAACAATTAAAACAGGATAATCCTTACCATTTTACCATTTATCTCAAGAAGCATATCGATTTTTTTTTCCTACTCAACCTGCCTGTCACTGTTGTACTACAAAACTTCTGTCGTCTTTACTGCTTGTCTTTGCTTTGAGTTCAGACAGCAACAAGTGCTGTTAGGATGGAGATGCAGTGAGTAGAACATGACAGTAAACTCCCAGTAAAAAAACAAAATATGGCATCTGGATCTGTGGACGCAGCTTTTGAGGGGAACACGCCTAGGTGGTAGTCATGGGTATTATCATGGAGCCAAAGGAGTCTGCAGTCGTTTGCTGCAAACCTTTTTTAGAGCGTATTAGCTGCCTAGCCACAGTCTGAACCCGCCGGATTTACGGGCTTAATCCTACAGCAGGATCATCTCACACACTGTGCTGCAGAAATGTGTGTTTCTCTTCTAAACCATACGCGTCACCCAGGTGTTAATACGCGACTCAGCTACATGTGCATCCTTCAAAGCATATGTGTGCCCACATGCTTCTGCCATGCACAGAATGAATAGGATGTGAAGTACATCATGATGTACCGTAGCTGACATGGTGTGGGCTCTCTGTGTGTCATGTCTGAGTACTTCCTTCTTTAAATCCACCTGTTTGTGAGCTTGCTTTTTCTTGATGAGGAGAATATATGGTCATAAACCACAAAGGCTGGAGGAGGCATTCTGTGTCTGAGGCAAAGCAAATACTCTGCAGTGATAAATGCGATGTAACGTGGTGGAGTTTGGCTTACTCTGTGCTAAAACTACTCACTGTCACACAAACTGAGTAAGGGAGGTACAAGCTAATGAGTCAACTACACAATATTGACTATATGATTCGTTGCTGGTCATTTTTGACCACTCAAGAAATCACTAAAAATCTCTAACACTCCAGTACAATCAAACAGTGCACAAATTTTGGGTAGCCATCACTACTTTAGATCAGAAAGGTGTAAAATCAGAAATGCAAAAAGTTAATTACTGATTTAGTAAATGCTGTTGCCATCAGGTGACTACAAAGTACCATCTCTGTAGTACAGGATTGGATCACAATGTTCTCCATGTCAAAGATACAGCAAGGAGTTCGAAAAACTCCTTGCTGTAAGTAAAGTATAAAATGTTAAATGGCCTATACTTATGGATACAAGATACCAAAGCGTTTAACACAATATTCAGTCTTTCACAAACTGATTTTGGCAAGCTACATTGTAGCCACCGCTGCCCTGGGGCTCACTGACAGAAGTGAGGCTGCCGCACAATTATGCCAACAGACCCTCTGACCAGCATTAATAGACAATGAGGGTGAAGTGTCTTGCCGAAGGACACAACATGACTGAAGCCAGAGCTGGGGTTTGAACCGTCAACCCTTCGATTTCAGGGGAAACTCCTGCATCCCATGCCACTGTCACCCAGGGGTAGTTGCTGTGCTATTTATTAGAATCACATCCATGACAAACATCTCCTGTTTTATTATAAAGCCCAAAGTTGACCTGCTGAACAGGTTCCTGAATAACCAAAGATAAAAAACAATGAACTCATCATGTTTGCGATTTGTTGCTTTTGTGTGCTAGAAGTGGTAACGGAAAGGTATAAATGGTAGGGTATACTGTGGTCACAAAGGAATGGACATTGACTACATTACTAAGATATGCTGTGGAGTAAAAATATTGTCCAGTTGCTTTAAAGGAAACTTGCTAAGAAAACATTCCCAAAATTAAACCCAATATATACCCACTCATAAAGGTATGGATGGATACATGCTCTCATGTTGTGCATTTTTGACCAGTGAAGAGTTCTGGCAATCTGTTTTTGTCAAAAACCAAGGAGCTTGGGTGAATTATAGCCATAGTATATTGTTATCAGGCCATAGGAGAGGCACCAGACAGCCCTTGGATCAATATATTGAATTTCACAAGCCAAACAAGAAAAGCCAGGCACCAGATGGTAAAGAGTTGCAGTGAATTTAGAATAAAATCAACCAACTGTACCAACTGGACTAGTGTAAACAAAATGGCAAAACAGGAACCAGAGGGGCTAAATGTTTTCCATTCAGAACTATGGGGGGCACTATTTTTGTTGGTTTCTGTTAAGAACATCTGGAAGCATGTTGCATGCAGACTGGGGAACGGAAGCGAGATTTGGAGAACGGTTGAAGGTCTAAGTTTTGGCTGAACACAGCAACTCTGTATCGGGTTAAATTAAGTCATAAAAGAATTATGTGGTCTCGATCTGAATAAGTGATCAGGTCCAGCTGTATAGGGCCACCTGTCCATCTCAGATCACATCAATATAGCATCAAACTCAGGCCAACTTTGTAGAATAAGCATCCGAGATTTTCAGGTTGTTTATAGCAGGTCTTTTCACCATCATGGACTCTACAAAGTACTAAAATATTTTTTCATTGTTGTAACATTAGGTCATTATTATCCTCCCTAACGTTGTAGCAGGGTGAGGAATTGATAAACCACCTTCTTTTATAAAAAATACATGAGAATATACCCTTTTCTGAGTCATTCCTAGCCAGTGTAAATAAATGCTGACCTTATTCAAGCAGAAATAAGTTCCACTATAACCATGGTGGTGGAAGTAAACCACAAATGCTCGAAAAACATGTCAATTGGAGAAGAATAAGGATGATTATGTGCAATAATAGCAAGTTCTGCCCTACAACTCCTGAAAAATAGCATGAGCCTGTGTGAACTTCTGTTCTTTCTTCTGTGTCCTGTTTTGGCAATATAGCTCAGGGAATAGATGTCAGACACAGGCTCACCCTACAGGGCCCAGGACTAATAAAGTGAAGGTCCCTGCTTCTGATATTAAAAGGCACTGGGACACAAGGAGGACAGACATAGGGATGGCTGTACCCACCAGAGAAGAGCAGACAAGAGCACCAGGAGCCCGACCTCAGAGAGATCAAACCCAAAAGGGACCCAGTCCACAAGGGGCCTTAACCCGGAGATTCTTTCACGTACTTTGGCGTACGCTGAAAGCAGAGGTGGGGCTTTCCACTGATGCCTGTTGCAAAGTTTCTACTTGTAAGGTAAAGTTTGGCATGCTATTTGGAGAAATCCATTTGACATCACTGCTGGTAAAAGTTCACTACCTCTATATTATACCGTATGTTTATTTAGTAATTTGCATCGTTAGTAGTTATACAG